TTAACATTACCATCTCCTTCACTATAGAATCCACCACCACTAAAAGTTTTGATGTAATATTTTTTACTAGCATTTTCCTTAAAATATCACATCCCATCTACCAAACTTGTTACCATTTTTATATTCACCCTTTTAGATTATTTAATTATAATCTTTAAATTCTTCAGTAACATCAATCCATTTTCCTATCTTACTGTTTTTAATATCTTCTTCATACTATCCACCGCCACTAATCATTTTTTAATCAAATTAATTACATTTTTTTTCCTTTAATCAAATTAGTCCATTTACCGAACTTTTTCCCATTTTTATATTCACCTTCATAAGTTATTTAAAAGTAATCTTTAAATTCCTCAGTAACTTCAATCCATTTTCCAATCTTACTGTTATTACTATCCTCTTAATATTATCCACCACCACTAATAAATATATGCAATACTTTCTTACTATTATTTTCCACCAATTAGAATATCCCATCTACAAAACTTTTTACCATCCTTATATTCACCTTTATTGGTTATTAAAAAATCATCATTAAATTCCTAACCAATTTCAATCCATTCTCCAATCTTAATTTCCTCACCTCTCTCATCATAAGATCCTCCACCACTAAGAAAGTTATAATAATGACCTTTATATAATTTTGCTTACATCTTTCCTCCTTTATACAAAATATTCCATATACCAATTTTTTTCCCATTTCTATACTCACCATTGTAAGTAATTTATTTTTTCAATTCAAAACCATCATCTAAATCAATCCACCTTCCATTTTTAACCCAATTTCCTTCTTCGTCATATGATCCTCCCCCACTAACTTATTTATATTACAATTTACATTATTTGTTTCTCACAATTTCTATTATTTGCTTTAAACCATACATCCCATTTTCCATATTTTTTAGCATTAGTGTAATTTCCCTTAAAAATAATATGATTTTTGCTAAAAAACATTAGAGTAATCAATTCATACTTATATTTTTCTTAACTTAAATTTCCTTGCAAGTCATAAATAGAAAAACCACTACATAGATTTATTAACTATTATTTACAGCCAATAAAATAATCCTCTTTTAAATTTAAAAATATCCCATCTTCCTACTTACCATTTTGATATTCTCCTTCTTTTGAAACTTAAGAATCTATTTGGAACTTAGTTATTTCAATCCATTTTCCTTTTTTTCTGCCTTCTCCTTCTATATCGTAAGATCCCCCTCCACTAGGTAAATTTCAGAAAAAAATATACATCACTTAATTATTCCACTGAATTTTCCAAACACCAATTCTTCTATCATTCCAATAATGGCCTTCTTCATTACATTGTTTTAACTAAAATGAATTAATAATATTCATACTCCCAATAATTTTCACACAAATCAACCCATTTTCCTTCTTTTTATCCAAATATATTATAATGTCCACCTCCTACTTATTATCCTTTCCAAAAATAATTCCATTATTTTATTTTATATCCTTTTATTCCGTATTATCCTTTATATTCTAAATATTTCATTTATTCCAAGTTAAATAATATTTGTTCATTTAGTTATCCTAATCTAAACTTTTCTCTAACATAAAAAAATAATATACATCCTAAGTATCTAACTATCTTTTTTATAAACTTTGTCTCCATTTTATTTATCGATGAGATAAAATGTTGTGTTCACTAATTTATTGTTTTACCCTTTTAATCCTTTTAATCGGAGAATAGTTTCTTTTTTTTTGTTATCAGCTCTTTATAAATTATTATCAACTTAATCAAGAAGAAAACTTGAATTATATCCACTTTATACTATTCTTTCTACAAATACAATTATTTTCTATATTTTAGATGTAACCAATTGTTTCCTCTAAATCCATTCATCAAAAGTGTCTTCTTTTAAAAATTTGACAAGGAACTCTAAATCTGCTTAAGAACATTCAAAAGGATTCAAATTTTCATTAACGAGTTTCAGAAATCTCTCATCCTCTTTCGATTAATCTTCAATGATCTTATCAACTTAATCTCTTATATTTTTCATTATTAAAGTTATTTCTTTCTAACTTTATTCAATTTTATATTTCAATGTTTTCATAATTTTGTTAGATTCCAATATCTTGTTCTTATTTAACTAATTAGATTTTATAAGTAATTAGCTCTATAAATCTTATAAGGATATTATTTATTCTTTAGGAATTTTAAATTTTAAACTACATTCCATGCAAACCTTTCTCAAAAGTTCGTTGGTTTAATTTGTAATACAAAT